GCAGACCAAGGAGTCCCTTTCTATTCCTGCCTTTAGTATTTAGCCCTTCTGTACTTTTCTGTTATTATTTAGACATTCCGGAGTTAAAGCTGTGTATTATTTGTCTTAGCTTGTGATTCATGGGTTTCCGGGTCTTGGATTCATGTTTCGTATTGAGAGTTAAACATGGTGTATGCCGAGTGGCACATTTAAACAATGTTACAGCTTTATTTCTGTTTTGAATTGTTTACTTCCGCAAATTTTGGTTTTCTTCCACAATTTAGGCTTACCTAGTCGTAGAGACTACGTGCCGTCACGATGGTTCACGGAGGGCGAACCAGGGTCGTGACACAATGTCCAATATGGGACAAATATTTTATTAAGTAATGACTAAACTTTAGTTAGAGGCTGGGAATATTCGTGCTTCCTCTTTTTTTTTTATGACTCAAAAATACAACTTTAACCTTTAATCAAGGTAGAGAAACATTCTTTCCAATCCAAAAAGACAGGCTAAAAGAATCCTCTTTTTTTTTTCTTCTTCTTAGCCCATTTTGTCCTCTCCCTTCCCAAATTCCGTCATCCCCACCCTGGCCTCTTTTTCCTTCTTTTTCTTGTCAAACCTCACATTCTGAGGAAACAAATATTAGATATTGTTGACGAACTTAATTATAGGATAAAAATCAGAGAATCAAATTTGTAATTAATAGCTTGATTGTAGGAAAATTGTATTGTAGCTGAATATTCTCTCATTATTTTTGTTAGATAGTTATATGTAAATAGTCCTAGTCTCATATGTAGTAGAAGTAAAATATGTCCTAGTCCCATATGTAGTAGGAGTAAAATAAGTCCTAGTCCCATATGTAGTAGGAGTAAAATAAGTCCTAGTCCCATATGTAGTAGGAGTAGAATATGTATTATATATAGGGCTCATTGTATCATTGTTAATAGTAGACTTTTCTCTCGTGCATTCTCACATGGTATCAGAGCTTCAGTGAGAAAATTATCGTTGTGCATCATTCTAGCGACATTCGGAAAGAAAGATCTCGTCGTCGTTCAATTTTCCGGCAACTTTGTCTTGTTTTCGGGGTTCATCATTGCAACAGTGGTATTGTGCATATACCAGTACCACCACCAAATCCGAAACCCTAGTGCGACCAAACCCCAGAAATTCCAGTTCCATCGAAATAGAAAAGTCGGTCACTGTGCGTCTTTCCGGTTGACGACTCAAGATTGATTTGCGTTATCTCCTCATCGGTAAGTGTTGTGCGGACACCAATACTACCATCTTTATTCGGAAAAGTCGGGCAACAAAACCCCAGTCAATTGCTCCGGCAGAAAGTCCCTCACGCGCCTCCATGCGCCGCCAGAACTAGGGTTCCGACAAGCTACAATAACTTTTCCGGCGTGTGTGAGCCATTCCAGCCACTTTCTGGCAAAACTTCTTAAGGACAACTTACTCGTCCAGTGATTCCGAGCCTACCCATATAAATTACATCAAATTTTGACAACTTTTATTTGTGAACAGTAATTTCCAGAAAAGTTTCTGTTTTCTGGTGGTGTTTTAGAACCTATTTTGTAATTTTTCTGGCGGCCTTGCAGCCAACTTGTGCTTATTAGCAACCACTTGGTTTTGTTGCTCAGGGGAGTCTAGCGACCTTGTATGTCGAATGATCAGCTTGCAAATACTTTCACAAAGTCATTCATTGGTCCTCATATTAGTTACATATGTAACAAGCTCGGTATATATGATTTGTATGCATCGGCTTTAGGGGGGTTGTTAGATAGTTATGTGTAAATAGTCTTAGTCTCATATGTAGTAGGAGTAAAATATGTCCTAGTCCCATATGTAGTAAGAGTAAAATAAGTCCTAGTCTCATATATAGTAGGAGTAGAATATGTATTATATACAGGGCTCATTGTATCCTTGTTAATAGTAAATTCTTCTCCCGTGCATTCTCATAATTTTCATTTATTTACTTTCCTAGAATAGATGTAGAACTTTTGTATAAAGGCATGTATTAGTAGGATGTAAAATACATTGAAATAAAAAGAAGCCTTCTCTTCTTCTCAATTTCATCATGGTATCAGAAGCCATTGTTGCCCTTTTGAGGTGAGTTTTCTCCCTCTGCAACACTAGGGTTCCATAGGTTGAGTTTTCTCCCTCTTTCTTATAGTTTTCTTGCTAAAGTTTCTGTCCGAAGCCTTTTTTTCACCCTCGACCAGTTCTGTACAAAAACTGGTATCACTGGAAGGATTATACCTACTGTACGACCTACCCAAACAAGTTTCAGATTTTTCCGAACACCAGAAGACAAGTCCGGCGTAACCAGTTAGTTCCAGGAGCCTTTTTTTTCAAATTCTAAAGGTTGTTTTTGGGTTACCAGGTTCTTCTCTTTAGAATTTATATTCTGAAATTTCTTTTTTGTGCTTCGGATTGTTCAAAAATATGGGGGACTCAAAAACAGTAGATAACAATAATTCTATTTCACATGGTATTAGTATGTTAAAATTGGAGGGTGCTGGTTCGTATCTTGCCTGGTCAAGGGCTTGTTTGTTGTTTATTAAATCCAGGAAGATGATTTGTTATATTACCGGAGAAAAGAAACAACCTGTTGTGACTGATGCTACTTATAGTCAATGGGATTCTAATAATTCCCTTGTTATGACTTGGCTTTTGAATACTATGCACCCTCGAATTTCTAAGCAATATTTGTTGCTTGACACTGTTGAAAAAATCTGGAATTCAGTCAAGCGCACTTATTCTCGCAAGGGAAATGATGCCCAGATTTTTTAAATTCGAAATAAAATTCATGCGACTAAGCAAGGTGAGTTGACTATCGCTGATTATTATTCCGAGTTAAACGAGTTATGGCAGGAGATTGACTACTATCAGGATTTCCAAGCAAAGTGTACTGATGATGCAGTTCTCTTTCAATGATTGGTTGAAAAGGAAAGGGTGTATGATTTTTTGGCCAGTTTGAACCAAGAATATGATCAGATCAGGGTTCGAGTTCTCGGTAAAGTTCCTTTTCCTTCTCTTGAGGATGCATACTCTTATGTTTAACGGGAAGTGAGTCGACGACCAGTAATGCTTTATTCAGCACCAATGGAGAAGTCCGGGTTAGTTGTGTCTCATGAACAACCAAAGGCGTTCACTTCTGATAAAGATCACATGCACTGTGATTACTATAGAAAGCCAAAGCATACGAAGGAGACATGTTGGAAATTACATGGTAGACCAACTAGAGATCGTGGAGGAAAACGTGTAGGTCCATCAAGGGTTCAGGCTAATTTTGCAGAAAATGTGGAGACATCCGGGAAAACTGCTTTTGGAGAAGCTTTTTCTTTGGATGAAGTTCAACATCTTCGTTGTCTCCTGAATAAACTTGACTCTTCTAATGTTGCCACTTCCAATTACGTGCAGTCAGGTATTGCCTTTAATGCTCGCCTTAATTCTTGGATTATTGATTCTGGTGAGAATAGACACATGACAGGCTCCTCTAAAGGCTTTAAAAACTACTCTCCCAGTTCCAAAGGGGATTATGTCAGAATAGCCAATGGCTCCCTAACTCCTGCCTCTGGAACAGGTTCTGTTGTTTATACACCTGATACTACATTATCATCTGTTCTCCATGTCCCTGAGTTTCCTGTTAATCTGTTATCTGTTAGCGCAATCACCAAAAAACTAAACTATAGTGTCGAGTTCTTTCCTGATCATTATGTTTTTCAGAATCTTCAAACAACGAAGAGGATTGGCAGTGGTACATTGCATGATGACTTATATTGGATTGATGGAATTCGAGACTCTAGCCAGGCCTTTTTTGGAGGAAATAAGGATGTCAACCAAGAAATAATACGGTGGCATAGAGAGTTGGGGCAACCATCATTTTTTGCTTCAAAGAAGTTATATCCTAGTTTGTTTTATAGAATTGAGTTTGAATCTTTGTTTTGTATTGCTTGTGAATTTGCCAGGCATACTCGAAACTCTTATTATTTGAGTGATAATAAAAGTACAACTCCATTTTCGACTATTCATTCTGATGTGTGGGGTCCTGCTCAAACAGTTTCTTCATCTGGTAGCAGGTAGTTTGTTACTTTTAATGATTGTTGCACTAGAATGACTTGGGTGTATTTGTCAAAGGCCAAAAAGGAAGTTTTCTCCTGCTTTCATTCATTTCATAAGATGATTTGCACTAAGTTGAGGCTAAGATAAAAATATTGCGTACTGATAATTGCACAAAACACATGGATAAAATTTTTGGTGCTTATTTGGAGCCTTATTGGATAATCCATCAAACTACTTGTCCTTATACTAGTGCACAAAATGGGGTTGTAGAAAGGAAAAATAGGCATTTGTTAGAAGTGGCAAGATCTCTTATGTTTACCACGAATCTACCAAAACCTTACGGGGGGAGGGGGTACCATTTTAGTAGCTACCTATCTCATTAATAGAATGTCACTAAAAACCCTCAATTTTCAAACTCCTCTGGAGTATTAAAGGGTAAAAATGATAATATTGTTCCTCCGAAGGTATTTGGGTGTGTTTGCTTTGTTCATACTAGGAACTCTGGGAAACTTGATCCTAGAACCCTTAAGTGTGTTTTATTGGGTATTCTCCAACACAGAAAGGGTACAAATGCTATCATCCTCCCTCTCGGAGAATCTTTGTCAGTATGGATGTTACCTTTCGAGAATCTGAGCCCTATTTTAGTATTACATCATCACCTCTTCAGGGGGAGAATAAAAGGGAAGAGATGAATCTCGCGAGTTCTATTGTTGAAACCACTGCCATTACCACAGGGGAAAGTAAAATTGAAGACAGAATACATGGGAAGGCTATTGGGCGTTTGGATAGACCTGATTTGAAAACTTACTCGAGGTCATCATGCAATCTACCGAAGCTGAACCTTCTTCTACTGGTGAGTTATCTACATTTCCAAATGAGTTAGATGTACCTACAACTCGCAGAAAAGGAGTCAGATCTTGTACCACCAAACATCATTTATCTAATCTTGTCTCCTATAATTCTTTGTCTCCCTCTTATAGAGCCTTTGCCTTGTCTATTTCTGTTGTGTCTATTCGGTAGAATTGGAGGGAAGCTTTTGGAGATCCTAAATGGAACCAAGCTATGATTGAAAAAATGAAGGTCTTATCAAAAAATAAAACTTGGGAACTTGTCACTTCACCACCAGACAAAAAGTCGGTTAGCTGCAAATGGATCTTCACTGTGAAGCACAAAGCTGATGGCTCAATTGAAAGATTCAAAGCAAGATTAGTGTCTAAGGGATCCACTAAGACTTATGGAATAGATTATCAAGAGACATTTGTCCCTGTTGCCAAAATGAACACTATCAGAATCATTTTGTCTTGTGCAGCTAATCTTGATTGGGACTTATAACAGTTTGATGTGAAGAACGCATTTCTTCATGGAGACTTAGAAGAAGAGATGTATATGGAGATCCCACCTGGATTTGATACCAAACAAAGTCAAGGAAAAGTGTGCAGATTGAAGAAAGCCTTGTATGGACTAAAGCAATCTCCTAGAGCTTGGTTTGACAGATTCTGCAAAGCAGTGATCTCCTTCGGCTACCAACAAAGCAATGATGATCACACCCTCTTCATAAGACATCAAAAGGATAAACTCACTCTTCTCATAATTTATGTTGATGACATAGTAATGACAGGAGATTATAAAGAGGAGATGACCCGATTGAAGAAGTTGTTGGCACAGGAATTTGAAATCAAAGATCTAGGGAAGTTACAGTACTTCTTGGGAATTGAGGTTGCTAGATCAAAAAGAGATCCAACAGATCCAAAATATACTTCTTGGGATCCAAAATATACTTCTTGGGAATTGAGGTTGCTAGATCAAAAAGAGGAATCTTTATTTCTCAAAGGAAGTATATTTTTGATCTCTTGAAAGAAACGGGTATGACAGATTGCAACCCGATAGAATTACCCATTGAACGTAATCACAAGTTACAAAACGGAACTGGAAAGTCAGTTGATAAGGAAAGATATCAAAGACTAGTTGGAAGACTTATTTATCTCTCCCACACTAGACATGACATAGCATATTTAGTCAACCTGGTGAGTCAGTTCATGCATGATCCCCGAGATCCTCATATGCAAGCTGTCTTTCACATTTTGCGGTATTTGAAGTCAGCTCCTAGAAAAGGTCCGTTGTTCTCCAAACATAGCCACCTCCAAATAGAAGCTTTTACAGATGCGGATTGGGCTGGATATCTAGATGACAGAAGATCTACATCCGATTATTGTACACTCGTAGGAGGAAACTTATTTACTTGGAGAAGCAAAAAGCAAAGTGTAGTCGCTAGATCAAGTGCAGAGGCAGAATACAGAGCTATGGCTCAGGGTGTATGTGAACTTTTGTGGTTAGAAAAGCTACTAGAGGAATTGAGACTGTCTGAAAAAGGAAAATTATCCTTGTATTGTGATAACAAGACTGCCATTAGTATAGCTCATAATCCAGTCCAGCATGACCGAACAAAGCATGTTGAAATTGATCGACATTTCATCAAAGAAAAAGTTACAAGTGGTGTCTTGAGTTTGTTCCATGTGTCATCTGAAAAGCATCTAACTTATGTGTTTACCAAAGGTCTCAACAAAAGGACTTTCCATAGACTGGTTTGCAAGTTGGGCATGTGTGACATCTTTGCACCAACTTGAGTGGGAGTGTTGACCAGCTTAATTATAGGAGAAAAATCAGAGAATCAAATCTGTAATTAATAGCTAGATTGTAGGATAGTTTGATTGTAGGAAAATTGTATTAGAGCTGAATATTCTCTCATTATTTTCATTTATTTACTTTCCTAGAATAGCTGTAGAACTTTTGTATAAAGGCATGCATCAGTAGGATGTAAAATACATTGAAATACAAAGAAGCTTCTCTTCTTCTCAATTTCATCACACAGTGAAAATTCACTGAGACTACAGAAGTTTCTTGAATCAAGGGAAATCTCTGAATTAGTGGAATAAGAAATTCCTGAATGTAGGAAACAAGAGTAAATTGTGTGCATACACTTCTCCACCATTACAAGGAAACAAGATACTTTTATGTACAATCAACTGTCACTAAGACCAAAGAAAATACAGAAAGGAGATATTAGAAGTGAGGTGTTCCTGTGCTAGAACTATAAGCGCCATTAGGAAAGTTAAGTTCTTAGGTTGAGTATCATCCCACATCGATAAATATCATACGTGTTGTGTTGACACCTATAAAATAGAACATCTTGTATTCAGTAAATTATCAAATCATCAATAAATATCTTTTATTTATTTATTTTCTCACAGGAGCAAATATTTATGTCAGAGAATTAAGAAACTCCTGGAAGGAGGAAATAAGACTGTGAGAATGTACGGGAGAAAAATATATTATTGATTAATATTCACAATATACAATGAGCCCTATATATATATAATACATGTCATACTCCTAATACATATGGGATTAGAGTTATTTACTACTATTTAACTATCAAACTAACACTCCCCTTCAAGCTGGTGCATATAAATCATATGTACCGAGCTTGTTACATATATAACTAATACGAGGACCAGTGAGGGACTTGGTAAAAATATCAGCAAGCTAATCATTCGACTTCACAAATTTTGTAGCAATATCTCCCGAGAGTATCTTTTCTCTAACAAAGTGACAGTCAATCTCGATGTGTTTAGTTCTCTCATGGAACACTAGATTTGATGCAATATGAAGAGCAGCTTGATTAACACACAGAAGTCCCATCTGAATAATCTCACCAAATTTCAACTCCTTGAGCAACTGTTTGATCCAAATTAGCTCACATGTAGCCATAGTCATTGCTCGATATTCTGCTTCTGCACTAGACCAAGCAATCACATTCTGTTTCTTGCTCTTCAAAGACACCAAATTTCCTCCTACTAAGACAATATCCAGACGTAGAACGTCTATCAGAAGGTGATCCTGCCCAATCAGCATCCGAGTATCCAACGATCTGCTCATGGCCTCAATCCTCAAACAATAAGCCTTTGCCTGGAGCTGATTTTATATACCGAAGAATGCGGACAACTGCATCCCAATGACTATCACTGGGAGAATCCATAAACTGACTAACAACACTCACAGGAAAGAAAATGTCTGGTCTAGTTATTGTGAGGTAATTTAATTTTCCAACCAACCGCCTATATCTTGCAGGATCGCTAAGAGGCTCTCCCTGTCCTGGCAGAAGTTTAGAATTCGGATCCATCGGAGTGTCAATAGGTCTACAACCTATCATTCCCGTCTCCTCAAGAATATCTAAGGCATACTTTCGTTGTGAGATCACAATACCTGAGCTAGACTGAGCAACCTCAATACCCAGAAAATACTTTAATCTCCCCAGATCCTTAGTCTGAAAGTGTTGAAAGAGATGTTGGTTCAACTTACTAATACCATCCTGATCATTGCTAGTAATAACAATATCGTCAACATAAACGACCAGATAAATACAGAGATTTGAAGCAGAATGTCGATAAAATACAGAGTGATCAGCTTCACTACGAGTCATGCCAAACTCCTGAATAACTGCGCTAAACTTACCAAACCAGGCTCGACGAGACTACTTTAGACCATAGAGGGACCGGCGCAACCGACATACAAGGCCACTAGACTTCCCCTGAGCAACAAAATCAGGTGGTTGCTCCATATAAACCTCATACTCAAGGTCACCGTGAAGAAAAGAATTCTTAATGTCCAACTGATAGAGAGGCCAATGGCGAACAGCAGCCATGGAGAGAAAAAGGCGGACTGATGCAATTTTAGCCACGAGAGAGAAAGTATCACTGTAATCGAGTCCAAATATCTGAGTATACCCTTTGGCAACAAGACGAGCCTTAAGTCGATCAACCTGGCCATCTGGACCAACTTTGACTGCATAACGACAACCAACAGTCGATTTACCCGAAGGAAGAGGAACAAGCTCCCAAGTCTCACTCGTATGTAAAGCAGACATCTCATCAATCATAGCATGTCGCCATCCGGGGTGAGACAGTGCTTCACCTGTAGACTTAGGGATGGAAACAAAGGACAAAGATGACACAAATGCACAATGGGATGATGACAG